CCCCCCCCCTATTTCGGCCCATTCGTTCAGTTCAACTCACATGTGAGCAAGACCAGGGCGGCCCTGTACAGCGACTCCCACAACTCGTACCACCTGTCGTCCCGCTGCAGCAGGTAGCCGCTCACGTACTTCCCCCAGGTGATCTCCAGGACGGGCCACATCTGAAGGGGGTAAGTGAGGACGATAGCCAAGGCGTAGATCACCTTCACGGACTGGCCGGTCCTAGTGAAGAAACGGGTGTAATAATACGAAGTTTTATTGACGCGACCGAAAATATATGAAAATGGTAGAAAGGGGGAGGGGGGATGAAGTCGACATTTCTGTCGCGTCCTATCCTCCCCCCTCTATTCCTCTCCTGATGCGTACCAATCCACTGGGAGGCTGAGGGTAATGACGTCTTGCACGTCATCCCCGTACTGGTAGAAGCCGAAGAAGCCCAGCACCGCGTACAGGGTGATGACCACGGCCATGCCCGCATTGAGGATGCCGAACGGGCCCGTGAAGGCGGCCGGGTCCGCCATGTTGTTCTCCAGGGCGATGATGACCCCCAGGGACTCCATGGCGAACAGCACGATCCCCATGAACTTGGGCAGGCCGCTGATCGGGCCCACCAGGGGCCGGCTGTGGATGGGCGGCAGGTCCCTGAAGATGTAGTACCAGATGATGGCCTGGCCGACCACCATGCTGATGTTGGCGGCGAGCGACACGGGCGCCAGCACCTTGAGGGTGCGGATCTGGCTGAGCACCAGGAGCACCAGCGCCACCCAGGCCATGTACTCCGCGTCGGACACGCCGTCGAGAGCGATCACCTACGGAGTCGAACCTGGGGTAGAGTGACACGACTGAGAAGACGGAAGACTGACGACGTCAAAGAGGATTTTTCACCCGTTTTCGCGATTCTTACCATTGCCATATTTTTCGCGGCGAAGGCGACGTAAACGCAACAGATGCCCAGCTGATACGTGAAGAGGAAGAACTCGACAATGTACCTGTGCCGCAGGTGGGGGGAGGGGAGGGGGGCTCTCGAGTACTCTGTGGCCAACATGCAGCTATTGAAAGCAGCCTCCAAGACCCACTACTCACGTGCTCGGCGTTTGAAAGGGCTGCACCCAGCCGGGCCCCATGGAAACAGCCCCCCGGAAGCCGTCGCCGTACTGGATGACCGGCACTCGCAGGTGCTTGCTCACGAGGTGCAAGCTGTTGATCTGAGAGCAAAAGACAATTGTCTTTCGCCATGCACCCGTCGTGTAACGCAGGTCGGGCGGTTCACGGCGAGGATGGCGCAGTAGCACACGCGGACCTGCGTCTCCTCCACGCGGGCGCACACATGCGGTACAGTCACCACAAAAAGGAAATGGCGTGTGAGCGCGTGAACCGCCTACACCCCCGGCGGCTAAAGTGACGAGTCTGCAAGTCTGCACGCGACCCACCAAGATGTGCAGCCCGTAGATGCAGAAGACACCCATGGCGTAGACGAGGACGCCTCCCTCCGCCAGCCCCACGTAGCTGAACGCCTTCGGCATGGCCAGGATGCCCGTGCCCAAGGAGCTCTTGACTAGGTGGATGAACGTCTCGAAGTTACTAGAAGACAGTGAACGCTCAAAGAGAAAGTGGACTGATGTGTGTGTAATCGTTTGTGTGGTGTTTAAGTGGTATTATTTTCGCGAGGGGGTAATGAATGACTCTCTATAGAAGATAATGCTTACTTCGTCATTGCTTGCCCCGTGCGTTCTGTGAAAGGGTTGTAATCGTCCTCCATCTTTGTGTTTGTCCCCTGTAGGCGGACCGCTAGGGTTACCAGTGCAGGTCGCGCAGGTGCTGGCGGGCTACCTTCCGATCTGTTCTCGTGGATACGCCGAGCGGCGCCCCTCCCTTTGTTGGAAATCGAAGCAAATAATGACATTTTACTACCCGGATGGGGAATCACTGACAAAAGCAGAAAGACACACTTCACAAAATCTATTTTATTTACAGTCACAATCACAACACAAATTATGTATAGCATTATATCACAATAGTACACGCAGACAATGTGCATGTTTTCATAGTAACTACAGTAAAACTAAGATTGATTCTAAGAAATACGAGCGATATGTTTAGCTCAAGCGTCTCTATGGCAGCCTTTAATCACTTCAAAGAATTATTCTAGGTGTATCATTAAAGTGCCCTATTTTTCTATAACACGACCTTTGTACGTTTGCGCGTTGCACGAGTCACCTCATACATCATACCAACATTTTCATACAGTAACACTTATCAGTTACTACATTGACAGTGGCTTTTTTTCGGCCCCACATTTTGGCCAGTCAATGTTTCAATGATTTGAAATAAAACAGTCTCTTTAAATTATCAAATTTCATTTTGATAAAATCTTCCCTG